CTGTGTGGGTGAACCTGTATTATTTTTGAGGGGAAAAGGGTAAACTGCAAAAACTGTAAATACATATAGTTTACATACAAAGTTAGGTTTTCTAACCACCTGCAGTGAAATTAGCAAGGGTGCACTTCAGGTTGTGGCCAGAGGGTGGCAGCAGCAGGCAGGGGCTCTGCCCTAAGGTACTTTGAAATACAGCAAAGGTTTGGAAAGGGATAGATTTACGGGGTTGCTAATAGCGATCACCATGATGATTCTCTCTGCCCAGCTCACCTAACCCTGAAGAGCGTGCCCTCTCTCCTGGTGTTGGGATCTGGCCGTGGTTGACCGTATTCCCAGAAACCTCCCCTTGGTGCTTTCCCCATGCGTTTTTCATGGCCACGGTCCCGGGGTTTCCAGAGTGCAGGGCCAGTCTGTCGTCACTGACCTTATCTAGCCCTCACCACAACTCTGTGAGCTAAACTGAGAAAGAGGAATGATTGTCCCCCTCCCCCACCTCACCATTTCAGACAGGATGAAGCCCAGGCTCCAGGAGAGACCTGAAGATCACACAGCCAGCAAGTAGGACAAGTTAGAACTCACGCTTCAAACCTGGGCCTTCTAGCCTGAACTCCACCTCGTCACCACATCTCTCACCGTGTCTCTCAACTGTTCATGCACCCAGCATTTATTGGGCTCGTGCTGTTTGTTGGGGGGCTGCGTGGACTTCCATGTAAGCCACGTGGGCCCCTCCCCCGGCTGGGCCAGCTCTGTGCCTCATGGGCCCTCAGTCTGTTTCCCTCCAGCAGGGCAGCTGGTACTATCTCCTCGAGTCCCTGGCTCTCGTTCCCAAGCCCGGCAGCTGAGAAACCCTGTTTCCCTGTGTCCCCTGTGTCACACCTTACATCACAAACTCCCAGGTCCTGCGGGCCTCCTGAGGAGTCTTCTTATACAGAAAGAAAAAGCCAAGAAAAGTAATACACACCTAAGAAATCTTATGAAGGGTCCGAGGATATTCTTTCCATTGGTTTTTAGAGAGAATAGAATAGAGGGAGAGAGACAGAGAGGGGGCTGTCATTGGTTGCCTAGCTCATGTGCCCTGACCAAGGCCAAACCTGCAACCGAGGTTCGTGCCCTTGACTGGAATCAAACCCGGGACCCTACAGTCCTTGCGCAGACACTCTATCCACTGGGCCAAACCGTCTAGGGTGAAGTGTCCTAGTTCTCATTGGTCTAAAGTCCCCGACTGTCTAGCTGAATAGTATTCAGGGGCCCTGAGAGCCTCCAGCGTCACTGCTTCTCAATCTGCCCCTCCCTGTTCTCTAAGGACTCTTTCTTCTAAAGGGAAGAGTCCGCTGTGAAACAGTGGGCCCTTTTCGCCAGCAGCAGCCTCACACATCTGGTGTTTACCCCGTCTCTTGACTGCATCATTCTCTCTTGTGCTTGACTTAATCTCGTGTTGTTTTATAAATGTAGTGTAGCCTCAGTGTACAGTGTTTATAAAGTCTGCACTCACACTCACTCATCCAGAGCAGCTTCCAGCCCTGCCAGCTCCATTCAGGGCAGGGGCCCTACACAGGTGAAACCTTTTTTATCTTTCATTTTACTGTACCTTTCTGTTTCGATATGTTTAAGTACACAAATACCATTGTGCTAGCTGCCTACAGTATTCAGTACAGTAACATGCTGTATGCGCATGCAGCCCAGGGCAATAGGTTAGGCCTGTGGTCAGCAAACTGCGGCTCGCGAGCCACATGCGGCTTTTTGGCCCCTTGAGTGTGGCTCTTTCTAAGCCTTAGGAGTACCCTAATTAAGTTAATAACAAGGTACCTACCTATATAGTTTAAGTTTAAAAAATTTGGCTCTCAAAAGAAATTTCAATCGTTGCACTGTTGATATTTGGCTCTGTTGACTAATGAGTTTGCCGACCACTGGGTTAGGCCATAGAGCCCGGGTGTGTAGGAGGCTGTACCCTCTCGGTGTGTAAGTGCAATCTGATGTTCACACAACAACCAGACCACCAACGCATTTCTCAGAACATATCCCCACCATGAAGCCCCGCCCGGCAGCAGTGGTAAGCTAAGTGCTGAGGCTCTCCTAGGGGCCAGGCACTGCCCAGGACACTGGTCTCCTCTCCATATTTCAATTGAGGGTCCTGAGCCTGCCCCCCACATTCAAGTCAGCAGCCTAATCCCCAGCCCCTGGGACCTGTGCTCCAAACTCGGGGGGCACTGTCTGCCTCTTACTGAGATGGCAGTCTTCCTGCCTCCCACACCTCCTGGGGCATCACCAAGTCCAGCTCCCCTGCCTGCACAGCATTCATCTCCTCTCTTTGGGGCCTGAGACACGTGAAAGAGGAGGGAAAACGGAGCACACCGCGGCTTCCGTGGTGATCAGCGAGGCCACACCGTGGGTCTGTCTGCAGCCTGGTCGGCTTGGTTGTGTCTGGGTGGTCACATCAGCATCAACTCCAAATCACAGCCATTTTCACTGCCAGGCAAGGGACGGCTGCTCCCTCAAAGCGGCCTCATGCAGTCAGCCACCGAGGCACATCCCGTGGGGGAGACCTGGGTCTGAGAGCCCACGCCCTGGCAAACACTGAGCTTTCTTTCCCTTTTGTGTTCCACCCACACAGCAGGGAAGAGAGAACCAACCCACGGAAACCGCTCCTGTGTGAAGTCTGGGTTCCTGACGCAAGAGTCGCCCAGCCTGGAAGTCCCTGCTCGGATTAATGTCTCTGTGAGAAGAAGTAGATGCCCACCTGTCACCAGCTGTATAATCACGTGATTATGGAGAAGAAAGCTCTGAGCCCAATGGGCCAGCCCCACCGTACGCTGCATTCCTGGATAGCCGTATGCAGTCTTTGAGTTTCAGTTTCCGCATTTCTAAAAGAGGACAAAGACTTCATTTTTAAGCTTCTTGTGAGAAGCTGTGGGAGCACCCTGACCACCAGGGGGCAGCTCTGGCATTGAGCATCTGCCCCCTGGTGGTCAATGCATGTCATAGTGACCGGTCAACCAGTCGTCATTCAGTCGTTCAGGCTTTTATATATATATATATATATCTTATCGTATCAATTATATCATATAATCTTACTCTTAAGTCTACTTTAACTGCTATACAATATTTCATAATATGAATATACTGTTAGTTGTTTTCAATATTTGTTACAAAACATGCTACAACAAATATCCCCAAACAGAATGTTTACATATTTATGCAACTATTTGGGTATGATAAATTTATCAAGTCAAAATTTATATATATAAATCTATCTATCTATATATGTATGTTAAAATTTGGTGGAAATTGTCAAATTTTACCCTGGCCAGGATGTATGGATTTAAAACTCCTTCAATATTGTATAAAGGTCCCTCTTCTTTCCTACATTCCTATTTTTTTATAATTTTGACAATTTAATGCTGAAAATGATATTTTATGGTGATTTCAGATCTCTTCTTATGTTTATTGATATTCTCCTATAAAGTATTTCTCCTATAAACTGTTCATTTATATACTCTACCCATTTCAAAAAAGGGAGTTTTCTTTTTCTTATTGATAGGAATAATATATTTCTTGGATATTAATAATTTTTCTTTTTTTAAAAATATGTTTTATTGATTTTTTACAGAGAGGAAGGGAGAGAGAGAGCTAGAAATGTAGTCAATTGTGTCCATCTTTTCTTTATGACCCTTGGATCATATAGTAGATGTAGGCAGGCCTTTCCTACTCAAAGAAATGAAAAATGTTTTTATATTTTTAATACTATTATAGGTTTTAATGTCTAAATATTTAACCCAGTTACAGCACATTTTTGTGGATGATGTGAGTTAGGGGTTTGTCACACAATCATGAGCCCAACATTCTATTCAGGCTTCCTATGACCCAGTGGCTGAGATCCATTGCTTGGCTTAATTTCATTTCCTGGGCCACATTTTGGAGATAATATCTATATTTGTACATAAAGTTGAAACAGAAAACAAGCCCAATGTTTAAGATTGTTACTCCCTCTCGCCTACAGAATCATAAAACTGGAAACTTACTTTGGGGAGATGCCTTTGGGTGTCCCTTTTTCTGGGACTAGAACTCTCTGTGCACCCATCACTGTGCCCATCACTCTGCTTCTCTGCCTGTGTCACCAGTTTGCTTTTCCTTTCTCCTTCCAAGTCCGCCCTCCCTTCTCTTTCTCTCCTCAACTGTTTCTTTCTCTAACCATCAATAGTGTTACCCATCTTAAATGTTTTTTTAATGATTTGTCCTGGTTGCTTAATAGTATTTCATAGTCTCTATGCATTTTTGTTTGTTTTGGAACACATTTTTATTTACCTAACTGTGAATTTTTAATAGAGTTACACAAATGTATGCTAAACATAAGATTCGGGTATTTCAAACATTTAGAGCTGAGACTCAATTTATATTTGTTCCTTTTCATCATAATATAATTTTAGAACCTCAAGAACACCTTTTGAGAAAGAGAAGAAATCCACTTTTATAATTATCTCATACATATTCATTTCCTAGTATTAATAACCATAGGATAAATAGTTGTATGCTGCTATTCACTTTTGAACATCTACCTATATTTCCATGTGGTCTTGTCAGAGACATTATAGCAACATGACTGGAAGGTGGGCTACATGGTAGAATTGGGGTCCTTGTTAACTAAGGGGTGATGCTGAGTGATTCACTTAGCCTCTCCGATTCTGTCTCTTCAATGGGGGATAATACTGCCCCCCCAGCCCTCTACCCAAGGTGCTGGTGAGAATTAAAATGTGAGAAGAAAACACACACTCCTAAGTATGCCTACTTTGGCAAAGGAGCACATCAGCAGGGTTAATTTGCTCTGTGTGTGTGTGTGTGTGAGTGTGTGTGTGTGTGTGTGTGTGTGTGTGTGTACACGCAGTCTCTCTGCTACTGTAAAAGCAGCAAAAAAGAGAGGCACGTGGTTAAGCTCACAGGGGTGGGTTCTTCCAGTCTTACTTTACTTCCTTGTGCTAAAGCTCAGAATCACAATAAGGAAACTAACCCCCAAGATGAACTTCGCATGTACGATCCTAGCCAGCTGCCTTCTGATTTTCATCCCTTCTACCAAAGGTAAGCTGGGTGTGGGTCTCCAGTGTCACCATGCCAAGCTTCTTTGGAGGCTCTGAAGTGAGTGCAGAGTCCGGGAGGTCACAGCCAGCTGTGCCTGGCGGTGAGTCTCAAGGCCTCAGAGACTGTCTTGCTTTTTATAGGTGTCGCTCCTACAGCCCCTAAGGTCCAGGACATCGTGATCGGTATCCTGCACCATGACATCGTGATCATTCCTGATCCTCCAAAGGAGGGTAATATTCAGGATATAGAATGGGAAAAAAACAAAAAGAGGATTATACGACGTATAAATGGCAAGATTACCCCCCAGCAACAGGAAAAATACCAAGTATTCGAAAATGGAACTCTGAAAATTAAACATCTGCAAAGAAATGATAGTGATATCTATGAGGTAAACCTATATAATTCGGACGGATACAACACATTGACGCGAACATTTGATCTGAAGATTCTAGGTAAGTCTTTGTTCCCTAAATTCCTCCATCTCAATGTGGGTGCTATTTAGCAAGCTGGGGAGTAGCATTTATCAAATGCCCCCAGCCCCCGCCTCAGCCTTGGAGGAGCCCGAGGGAAAACGGAGGCATCCCTCCTGCTTCAGGGGAGGCTCCGAGCTGTGGGAGATGGAATCCACATGTGGAAATACACAGCTGATACACAGTCTGCCTGCCTGGAACTGGCTGTCTCTTCAGTGGTTATGGGAATGTGGGGCTGAGCAAAGAACCCGGATTAAGGTGGCATTAATCAGGATGAGGGAGCAGGCAGTGGCGAAAGAAAAGGTAGGCATTTCAGGTGGATGATGAAGGGCAAGCTAGGTGGGAGCAGGGAAGGTGAGGCTCACTGGAGAGCTGTGGGCCTTCCAACAAAGAGACAATTTCCAGCCAGGATGCCCCGAAGGAGTAGTTGTATGGCAGGAAAGGGCTGGGAAGGATGCATTTAAGGATGAAGGGCCCTGGTTTCTGAGCCACTCACTCCACATCAGAGTGGTCCAAGTGGGTTCTGCCGGCCTCTGTAGAGAACGCACAGGTGTGGCTGTGTGTGTCTGTGCATGGCCGGGAGGGCAGAGTGCATACTGAAGACGGGGGCAAGAAGACTGGCCAGGAGGCTGCTGCTGTATCCCAGTGAAGGGGAGAGGGGCTGGGTTGTGATTCTTAGCCCTGCCTGCGCGTTAGAATCAACCGAGAGGCTACTAAAAGTTGCCAGTGCTCAGGTTCCATCCTGACAATTAAGTCAGAATATTTTAGCGCGGGACTGGGCATCAGCAGGGTCTAGGTTGGCAGGTGATTGTAATCGGCAGTAAAGGCTGACACCCTCTGGCCTGGACTCGAGGATGCCTGTCAAATGAGGCAGGGTGAGCATATGGAGAGTCATGTGGAGAAAGCCTAGGCAGGATGGCATGGGTGTGGGGCAGAGGGAAGAGAAAGCGGAATTGAAATGACATGCAGTTGAACGTCCAGGAGCCGCATGAAAGGGGTGATAAGAAATGACATGCAGTTGAACGTCCAGGAGCCGCATGAAAGGGGTGATAAGAAGTGAGAAGAGGGTCCTAGCCGGTTCAGCTCAGTGGATAGAGTCGGTCAGTGGACCCAAGGGTCTCAGGTTTGATTCCAGTCAAAGAGCATGTATTTCAGTTGCAGGTTCGCTCCCTAGCCCTGGTCAGGGCTTATGTGGGAGGCAACCAATTGATGTTTCTCTCTCTGTTCCTCTCCCCTCCCTTCCACTGTCTCTAAAATCAACGGGAGGGGGATTTTTGGAGGGGGGAAGAATACAAATCAATGGAAAAATATCCTCAGGTGAGGATTTAAAAAAACACACAAAACATCAAAGTGAGAAGAGGAAGCCGCACTTGGCCTTGAGAGGAAGACAGGAACCTCAGCATGAGCACAAGGCAGCCACTCTGAGCAAATAACACTTCTGGCTTCACACAGGAAATGTCACTGGGGCAGGGCCCCTCCTCCTACCCAGGGCCACCTTCCTGTCCTGTCCTCAGTATGTGGACCTGGCAGCCACCCTCTCCAACAATCCCAGACATTGTCAGCTCCCTGCACATGACAGCTTCCCACACCCTGGTCCTCAAACCTGAATGGAGAGTACATTCCAGAACTGGGGTGGGACGTAGAATGGAGCCAGAAGGGGCCTCTGAGTATGGATCTGGGAGCCCCACATCTCAAGACTCTTGCCAGCATGGGCTCGGGGTCCTGCTTCGAACACGAGCCTCCCACTCCTGTCTTCTTTAGTATGGTAGCCATCACAGTGCCTGTCTGCTGGGTGTCGAGCACTTTGCTTTCATGACCTTATTAGAGGGTCCTAGCACTCCTGAGAGGTCGCTGTTACTACCCCCTTCTTTTCTATAAGGAAACAGAAGCGACTTGACCCAAGTCTCAGTCTGACTGCTACAAAGTCAGCACCAAACCCAGGGCTCCTTTTTCAGCAAAAGATGGGTGACATTTTTTTTCTTCCAAAAGTTTTATTTGAGACACAAATCACATACCATAAAATTCACCCATGTAAAAGTGTATAATTCAGTGGTGGTTTAGTATGCTCAGGGATGTGCAACCAACAACAAAATCAATTTTTAGAAACATCTGTAGTCCCCCCCCAAAAATAAACCCTGCACTCCTTGGCCAAAAGACAGAGATCTTTCCATGACACAACAGCCACCTGTGTGTGTGTGAGTGTGTGTGTGTGTGTGTGTGTGTGTGAGAGAGAGAGAGAGAGAGAGAGAGAGAGAGAGAGACAGCATCACCATTCCTTGCCACACAGCCTTGAGTAAATTCTTTATCTGCTCTCAGTGTGGCTTTTATAATAATAATTGCCTGGGGTATTCAGTGAGACATGGCTTCGATGACTAAACACAGGTGTCCTGCGGGGCCCGGGACACAGTGCCTGTTTGCCAGGTGCCCTCCCCCTTCTCACTGCTTCTTCATGCTTCTCCTGGCTACAGTCTTAGCACCCAAATCCCCTTAATGAGGGGGCTGCTGCCGCTGAAGGAAGAGGCAGTGGAAAGCCTTTTAAAAGCAGATGTTAGTGGAGAAGGAGTTGAACCTAGAATTAAGGAGTTCCCACCTATGGGATGAGCCACCTTTGATCTGGCCATTCCTCTGCTAGGAAGCCCTCTGACAGGGAGGACATGTACAAAGATAGGACTTGGAGAAACTGCTCATCATCGTGTGGTTTATATTAGTGAAATACTGGGAAGGGTTTTAAAGTCCCCAGCAGTTAGAAAATTATTCATTAAATGAAGAATACATCATTTAAAAACAACGGTGATGACATACTTAAGGGAATTTCATAAAAGACCAGTGAAGGAACAAAGGCAGACTACAAAATCACAGGATACAGTTTTTTAAAACATTATTTATATGTGTATAGAATGCATAGAAAACATCTGCTAAAGATATACATCAAAGCATTAATAATTATTGGCTCTGAGTAGTGGAATTGCAAGTGATTTTTAGTGATTTTGAAACTTTTTTTTTTTTTAAATATATTTTATTGATTTTTTACAGAGAGGAAGGGAGAGAGATAGTTAGAAACATCGATCAGCTGCCTCCTGCACATCCCCCACTGGGGATGTGCCCGCAACCCAGGTAGATGCCCTTGACCGGAATCGAACCCGGGACCTTTCAGTCCGCAGCCGACGCTCTATCCACTGAGCCAAACCGGTTTTGGCGATTTTGAAACTTTTAAAATCAATTTTTTACCATGATCGGGTGTCACTCTTATAAATAGAACAAAGAATATTTCCATTCTGAAAAGACAAGTAAATGCCTGACTCAACCCCAGATTACGCACTGGCCCTGTCTTGCTGTTTGATGGCGTTTCTGCATCTTCCTCTTTCTTGGTTGCATAGAATGCAAGGACGGGGGAAAAGCTTAATTTCTGCATGCCCATATATTGAGACAGAAATGCAATTTGGTGGGAAAGTTCATTAATGAGATACTGTTGCCTGGGAGTCAGGCAGGGAGGGGATCCTGGGAAAATAAGCTGTCTGTCAACATAATGAATGGAGAGACCCCGGGCAAGAAAGGTGGTGAGTCTGAGGCCAGAGGGAAGTAGGAGAGAAAGAGCAGAAGAGGAGAAATCGGAGGTCTCACAGATACAACTGGTGTGGTAGGATTTGCACCTGGCCTGTGTGATGCCAAAGCTAGGCTCTTTGAAGATTCTCATGTCAGAAAAACAAGGAATTCATGATTATGAAGGAATCAACTACCACCAATAACGTCAGTGCCTAACACTTGACCCAGGGGTTTGCCACATGCTGCCCCTGTCACATCAGGTGGGGCCTGTCTTTCTTACCTTTCTCTTAGAGATGAGGTCCAATGGGACACAATGCGTGGCCAGGCGGCTCTGGGCAAAAACCCACCCAATTTAACCTCTCAGAGCCTTGGGCATTTCATCTGCCAATAGGAAGAAAAACATCAACCTCTCTGTTTGCTAGGATCAAATGACATCCTGTATGT